ACAGCTGGTTTATGATTTCGTTCAAATATAACACAGCAAGTAAATTTGTTTATAAAAACTTTCAGAGCAAAATTAACAAAATTCCAGAAATATGTGCGAACATAAAAGTTAAGTACGGCTTTGAGCAAGTTGGTTGAGGAGCGTTGACTCTGAGCTTGAAATTTCGCAGGACACGAGTTCGATTCCTGGTACTTGCAGTGTCAAAAAATTATTTATGAATAATTAAATACAAGAATTATTTCCATGACCACTGATGATGGGTATTTAATAATACTTGAAACAGCTGTATGGTCAGCCAAAAATTCAATTAAATAAAATAATAAAAAAAAACATTTTTGTTGTTGTAGTTCACTAGTTTTCGATGAAAACCACCTTAGAAAATATATTAAAACAAATTTATGTATTTTAATTGAATATAACATTTTATATTTATTTTTTTCTCCGCTGCATTTTTAAAACTTTTTATTCTGCTTTATTATATTTCATATTATTTTTTTTTTTAAATAAATTTAATATTTAATTTTTCTGTTTAACACTAATAATTTTTATTCTACACTTATTTTGCACTATTAACGCACATGTCATTGAATTGTAATTGATTTGCAAGAAAATATTTATATAATTTCATTTTTAAAATAAATACTTGCATAAAATCGAACTAAAATTTATAAAATAATTTAATAATTTTTTTATTTGTATTGTATATAACATTTGAATTCTTTAATAAACATCTGAATTCATTTTGTATATTTTTTTATATTAAGTTTTTTTTTATTATTGTTATTTTTTTAGCGTACATAAAACATTTTTATTGACAATTTTGTTAAATTATTTAATATTTAAAAATATTTTTTTATTCGTTTGTTTAATTATTTTGTTTTTTTTTTCTTTTCTATGTTTCATGTGGTTGTGTCGTGTTTTATTGTATTTTATTAGTATCTAATTTTTAACGATCAGTTTTGCTCATTAACTAATATTTTAGTGATTGCATTGCAAATTTTTATACTTGCAATCAGTTAGGTTCCTTTAAGTTGAATTATAAAGGTGAGATTACTTAAGTTTACAGTAAGTAATAATTTTTGTTTTTTAATTAAAGTTGCTTTTAGAAAGTGGGCGTGGCTTGTATGATATATATTATATTGAATTTTGTGGCTTAAAGATAGGGACACATTAATTCGAAACTTAACAGTTATTTTTATATAATAAAGTACGTGTTCGTATAATAATTTTGTTAAATATTCAGAAAGATTTTCTTTTGGTATTTTTTTTTTTAATTAATTTGTTAGAAAAATAGTTTATTCTCTTTATATTCTTGTTAATATATTCTTTTTTATAATTAGTTTTTGTAAATATATAACAAAATTTTTAACAATTTTTAGGCATGAAACGTTAAACGACTACTTTGAAAACAGAATAAATAATTTATATTTCTACTTCTTTATTCAAACATTTGAAAGTTACTTCAATATAATATTTTTTTAATTTTTTTAAAGTATTTTAGTAGTGATCATTATAAATAAAATATTTTTATGTATTCATATCAAATTAATATTTCAATATATGACAGAACAAACTGCATTGCAATTTTTTTGTTTAATTTTAAATAAAAATTTTTAATTAAATAAATAAATTGTAAAAAACCATAATTTGATAAAAACAGTAATATACAACACATAATAAATATTTGTTTTTTTTTTTCAAATTTAAAAAAAATGCTATTTGTGAATTAATTTTTATCTTATATAGTTTTCTAATGGTTCTTTGACCATTATAAATATTATACTACTTCATTTTTGATCAAAAAAAAAAAAAATTAAATACAAAATGCAACATAAATGTCCAACATAATGACTAATCAAATTATCAAATGTTCAACTTAACGAATGATATACTTATATCACCAACTTTGATTTAACGAAATCTACGATAAAATAATTATAAGAGGAAATCTGTCGTTAAAAAAATAGCAACTCATGTTAGACAAAAATGTCGTCGAATTCTTATGCCTTGTTTTCACTGTCATTTTAAATGACAATTATAATTGACTGGTGTGTCAAATATGGTGTGTTTTTATGATATGATAAGTATGCAAATACGACATCATAAGACTACCCGTTTCCATTATACTGACATTATTTGACAGTGAAAATGACATAGTGTAAACAAGGCATTAGCTTTTGTTAATAAAAACTAAAAAATTTGTTTAATTAAAAAAGTTAACTTAACATAAGCTTATTAATAAACAACAGAAAATTTTCATTACATCGAAATCATGATTTCATAAGACTTATAAAAGAAACGTAGAAGAATTAATAGCGAGCATCAATAATTTTCAAAAAATAATTTCTAAACTACAAAATAGCTATATTTCTTTGTTTAGCATACGTAGTTGATTTATCGAATTTTTCTATTTAACTAATGAGCTGTACATGAAACCTTTAGTTAAATTGAGTGACTATCGCTTAAAATATGACAAACCTCAAAAACTTAAAAAAAAAATATTAATATAATATGAATGTAAAAATTTGATAAAAAAATAAAAATTAAAAAATAACAAAATAAAAATAAAAAAATAGTTTTCGATTAATTTGTTACATATATTTTAAATTTTTTAATAATATACCCATACAATATACTCATATATTATTCCCGGACAAATTTCAAAATGAATACGTATTTACACTCAAATACAAAAATCTAGCAAAAATCTTGCCAGTGTAGAAGCTAGGTTAGTTTTTGGATCGGAAACCTAAAAATGAAATATACACGATTGCATTTTTTAGACAAATTTTGTTTACATTCAATTAAAATGCAGAGTTTTAAGATCGTATTTTTATTCATTTAGATATTTTGTATGACTAAAACAATAGCCTACTTTTAGGCGGTTTTAAATAATTTTGTTTGATTTTAATTTAGACCAATTCCTATTACACAAATATATGCCTAGATAAGTGCAGGCTTGACTAGTGAATTCATAATACAAATTATTTATCATCATAATAATTATTAATAGTGATATCCCTCATAATATTTCAGAAAATTTACTGAAATTTGTTGATAATCTTGGAAATAATTTAAATGATTTTTCTTCATATTACCTATTATTTTTTAATGGAAGAAATGCAAAGCAGAATAACATTAAACACAAAATAAAACAAATTTTCAACAGTTATTATGCTGTTAAAACTGATAGTTACTAGCCTATAGGTGTACTCATCAAAGCATATAAATTTATCAAATGTATAAATCTATGCGTTTACTTACACGGTTATATAAACGCACTTAGTAAAATATTTGACTAAATTTATCAATCTGCAGTAGATTAGCAACTTGTGCTTTTGTTGGAATATAACTCTGTAGATATAAAAAATTTGGTAAAATTTTCGTGTAAATTTATCAAGTTAAGACTATTTTTCATACAAAATTTGACACTTCATTTTCCAAGCAGATAAATATGTTTATAAGGTTTATAAAGAATTTATCATTTTAGTTGAGTAGCCCTTATGACTGTTAACACTGTAATGACTGTAATGATGTAATTAATTTTCAAATTACTTGCACCAATTTTTAACGAAAGTATATTATAAAACGAATTTATAACTTTTTACGTTTATAATAAAATATATTCTATATAAAAAAATATTTAATTCAATTTTATTAATGCTTTTATTTACATATTCAAATTTTATTTATATTTTATGCTGTTTGTGAAATAAGTACAAATTATCATAATACAAAGAAATTTTGAACAAATATTTCAATATAATTTCTTAAACATAAAAAATTGTATAATTCTTTTAAACTTAAAATTAATTAAAACAATAAATTTCTTTAAATATGTATATTAAATCGAAAACTTAAAAAGAAAAAAATTAATATTAAAGAAGAGGAACTTTTTAAATAGAAATTCAAATTACTAATCTAACTAAAGCATAACTAACATATTAAGTTTAAGATGAGAAAATAATATTACACCAAATTATTTCAACTTTTTGATTAAGTTAAGCTATTAGCTATTAATAGTTTTGTAACATTAGACGAATCAATCTAATAAAAATATTAATAAATTTAAGGAACAGAAGGGCATTAATTTTGTTGATTGCTGTGATTTTGGATATATTTTACAGTTAAAGTAGAATACGATGGATGATAACAAATGGATTATAATAAATTAAAGCAAAAGTCTTTAAATTTTATTATTCATTTATCGTTTAATTATTATTACTATTAAAATTTTATTTCCTATTGTAATGAATAATTTTAATTTTATAACTCATAAACAATATATTTTAATTTTTTATTGCATAATTATAATAACTTGTAATTACATTAGATTTACTTTGGTACACGCAAGTTTTAATTGTAGACTTTAATATATAAATAAACACATAAATTATTGAAAACACAGTTCAACATAAATTTATCTTAACTTTATACTTAAAATGGTTCATCATATTTTTAATTTTTTAACAAAATTATAAGCTCAAAGCAAGATTGTTAAGTTGGAACGTAACGAAAGCAACAACATAATGTGTTAAATAATTCAGATTTTCCTATATTAATTGCAACGCAGTGTTCCCATCTGAACAGCTTTCTAGTTTTTATGGTATACTTTAAGGCGGCATTGAACCAAATAAATAGAAGAAGAAGAAGAGTTGATATATTTTCAAGTCATATATTTTTATCGGCCTAAAGCACTTTTTATTAAAATCCTTGTTTAAAAATTTGTTTCATCTAATACAAAATATGCTAAAAATAGGTGTATTCGTATGTGTGTTTATGTGGGGTGTATCTTAATAACGTTTATATAATTAGCATTTTTTGCTTTTGTATTTGTAATGTGCATTTAAGTTTGCTTATTTGTTTGTTTGTTTGTTGTGTTTGATGTTTTATAACACCATTTACATTTACATACAGACACAGTTACTTTTTCATATATTATATGCCTATATGCCTTTATATAAATATTTTGTGATTTATTTAGTTTAATATTAAAATTTATTTGTTTTTATATTTTTTTCTTTTTACAAGTAAAATCTACTCTATATATTAAATATAAAGCATTAAGCGTGTCATGATGCATCATTCTCCACTGTAGCAGAAATATATCCTTTGTAGTATATTCAAAAGCTACAACAGCATTAGCAGCTATATTTAACTCAGCAATAACAATAATAACACCAACAATAATAACGTTCATATAAACTAAAATTAACGGCAACTATGCTGTTGTGGAGGTTGTGGATGTTGTTGTGGAACTTGGTGCATTACTCGCATTGCACTGTATGAGGCCACTGTTTTGCGTATGTTGCTGCTGTAGTAAATGGTGCTGATGATGTGCATTATGATGATGATGATGCAGATGATGGTGATGATGATTATTGTTGTTATTTGTAAAATTAAAATGTAAAGCGCCCGCGCCGCCATTATTACTATTTGTGGTCGCTTCTGTTGTATTGCAGGAGCTTGATGAAGGAACCGCCGATGTGCAATATCGTGTAGTATCACCGAATTCACCGCTTGTTAAATCGCCTAATATACCACCGATAAGGCCACCACCACCGCCGAAAACAGCGGCAGTTGTTGTGGATTTTGTTGCTGCTTCAGGTTGTGTGCAAATAGGTGGCGCTGCAGCATCGCCATCAATAATTGTTGCATTATTTGTACCAACAGCAGTTGTAGTTGCTGAGGTGTTTTGCATTAAATTGACATCTTCTTTTGAACCACCACCATCGCTGTTACTATTTGTTATATACTGTGTATTGGTGATTGTAGTTGCATGGTTTTGGTTTTGTAATTGTTGCGTTGTGTTATTGCAGTGTGTTGTCGAACTATTGGACACGCTATCCGTATCCGTTTGACTGTCGTCTGTTAGGCGTAACGCCACTTCTAAATCTCTTAAAACATCTGTTTCTTTCTCATCGATTAAATTAAATCGCCGATGCAGCGCTGTCAGATGCGCAAATGTCAAATTTAAGTGGGTATGCAGTCCTAGCAACGCAATTTCTCTGAAATGCGCCGCATACAGATGAGCTATCACATGAAATTGCAAGCGTAGAATTTTTCGGGCAATCGATTCAAACGAACTGGGAAATTCGTTGGCATATTTGGTTGGAAATATCGACTCGTCACTGACCGTTTTCTGTGTAAATGTCATTACGTAGTCGATATATTGTGGAGCGGCCACACGCGTCTTTTTGCCTTTTTCATCGAACCATAAGTACGTTCTAGCAATTAAAAACAAAAATGATGAGAGAGTTTTAAATAAAAATTAAACAAAATAAATATGTTATTCAATCGTATTTACCTGTTGCCTGGTCCTGTCATATCTGGACAACCAGGTGGCGTACAAAATTCACTAATAGTTCCATATACCAAATTTACATGTTCAAATAGGGCAAGAGCTGTGAATATATAAAATATATTAATACAACACAATAAAAAATATTTATACAGATAAAAATAAAAAATAATTAAATATTTGAAATAATTTTAAAATTGTCTGCCTATTTATTATTTTTATTGTATTATTTTTTTTATTATATTATTTTTTTTATTATATTATTTTATTGTTATTTTAGCATTAGACTATTAGATCATCAATAAGATTGGTTTTAAGATTTAGATTTTTATGAACGGATGTGTGGTATCAAAACGGCACCTAAGCACTATTTACCGAACTAAAGCTATCTATCAATTAAATTTTTTTTTTTAGTAAATCTAGCAATAAAGAGAAAATACTTTTAACACTTATGTAAAAAATTCCTTAATATATATATGTTTATATATATGGTACACATATATGTAAAAATAACTTACTATGTGAAGCTAGCCATTCATTATAATCTAAGCCAGCTGGAAGATCAACTAAGGCTTTGAGATCTGCTTCAGGTAGTTTACGTTCTAGAACGCTCTCCTCCAAATATAATTTGGTATCTGTTGAGTTTTGATCACCATCACGCTCTTTGCGACGAGCTTTTCTGTAAAAAAAATATATACCAAATTAAATAAATGAAATCGATACATTATACCACTAATTTAATGTTATGAAATAATTGCTAAAGTTAAATTTAATTTTTAAGTTATATTTCACGAATTATGCTAACAAAAGATTTTTAGAAATAAATATTTATAATCTTTTAAGAGTTAATATTCTTGCAAGGATATTGTAAAAAAATTTATAATATATGATTTATTATTATTTTATATTTATATATACAGTAATATAATTATTTTATTTTATTTTATTTTATTTTATTTTATTTTATTTTTATTATTCACTACTGTTCGAAACCTCTTTACCAAATATTTATATATATTTACTTATTTATGAGTTAACATTAAAATTAATTTTAAAATTAATTATTAATAACGAACTGGACTGCTAGGTCCTTCGCCCTACTTTATATATATAAATATATATGCATATTTATATTTAATTTTTTTACTAATTAATTAATTATTTTGATTAATTTATATTTACTAAGTAATTTACTTTTAACTTTTTATTTACTTTCTGATTTAATTGATTTTTTTTTGTTATTTTTAGTATTTATTTAATTTATGTAAAAATCCTTTTAGTATTATGCTTACTATTTTTTTAATTTTTTATTAATGTATTTAATTATTGTTTTTTTTAAACAAATTATATTAATAATACATATTTGTATTTTACTTATTAATATTTCTAAAAATATAACATTTTTAATTTATACTTCACACTATTTTATTTTTATAATTTTTTTTTATTTATAATAAAATTATAAAAGATTTGTATTATCTGAACTTACATTTTTATTCTATTATGTTGTATTATTATTATTATTATTATTATTATTAAATAAAATTTGATTTATTTTAATATTTTTACTTATATTATATATATTGTTAAAGATCTTCTTCTTTTTTTTTTCCTTACGCTTTATCTAACTTTGGGTCGGTACTCCAATAGCTCAGTAACCAGACCTCACAGTCTTAAGTTAGTTGCCTTATCTTTTATGCTTCTGGATCGTATGTCATTTTTAATTATATTATTTCGGGTGTTCGGTGACCTTTCTATATCTTTCTTCATATTCTTTATTTTAATATTATTCTTGTTTTCAATTTTTATTTATATTCTTTTGTATTGTTATATATTATATATATTGTTATATTATATTTTTGCAATTGTTACTATTGTTAGAATTTTACCGTTAAAATATGCAATAAATTAAAATTTTAGTCGGAGAAGAGAAAAGGTTTATACAATTAATTGAAATTTTTTTAAAATTTTTTTTATATAAAATATCTTTGTAGTGTAATGTGTAGAGTTATATGAGTATGTTAATGAACACATATAATTTTTTGGTAGTTTAAATTATATATTTTATATTATATATATATCGTATATCTATTAAATTGGTACATATAATTATTCTTATATAATTATTTTATTTTTGACAAATTTCCATTGATTATAAATATAGTAATTAACAGAAGAAATTTTTAAGTAAAAAATGCTTGGTTATTATTTCTCTATTATATCATAAATAGATTTTTTAAAAGTAAACATTTTCTTCTACGTTAATATCAAATCGTTTGATTTAATACACAAAAACGAATATCATATTTTATTAACTATACTCTTATCATTGTACAGCGTCATACTGATATGAAGGAGCGATAAATGAAAGAATATAATGCAATTTTTTAGAACATGAAATGCAATCCTAAGAATTTTTTATAAGGAGCTAATAGCAATGGCTCACCCTGTAACACACAGTATATTATGCACTGAGTAACGATAAATTGTGCCTAGAGTTTCACCAATTTTATTAGGTATTGCGCTGGTAACCTGCCACATAAATCGCACCGTCTTCAGTACGCATTTGAACACAAACGAATCTTTGGTATCTGCCGTTTCGATCTCTTTCATCGTATAGCGACAGTTAATTTTATTTAATAATATTATTTTTTTTTAAAAAAAACTTCTTCAGTCTTAAGACTACTAAAATTTTAAATTTTATCGCGCCATATTTGTTCTTCACTGGAGTTTATTGTTTATGTACTTCTTTTTAATTTTAAAATTATTTTTTGCTTTAATATATTATATATTTTTATCACAATTAAGTGCTAGAATATTGCTTAGCACACGAAAATTTTCCGCATTAGAAGTTAACAGTTCAACAATATGCAAGAAATTTTTATAATCAGTGACCACAAATATTAAAAAACCAAAAAGAACTACACTTAAGATACTTTATACACAAATAAATAACACCAAAACCTCTCTAGCGATTGTGTTAGGCTCAGAACCCCTTTTCATACTAGCAACTATATATTCCCGAATTGTTTTTGCCTAAAAAATAATTTGCGCAAATTCAAAAGCGTTTTTTATCATTTCGCAGTGGAAGCTTTTTTATATTAAATCGCGGCAATTATTATCGGAAAGTGTGAGGCAAGCATGATACGGTCTTATATGTAATCAGTCAGCCCACAATTCAGGGCTGTTTTACTGATCTGAACAGTAAGTAGGTAAAACCATGGGTGAAACGTAAAAATAAAAATATTGTTAATAATAATGATAAGAATGTATAGTAATTTTTTTTCTTTAATTTCTAGGAATGAATGAATTTATTCAAAATAAATTCAGGTATGATAATTTTATCAATAATTAATTTGAAAGAAATACAAAAACAATTTAATTCATTAATATACATACGATAAGTTTTATTTTATAATCAAATAAAAAGTAATTTAGTGCAATAGAACTACAACTACTGCTACAACAATAGTATCAATCAATTACCCTTTTAAACATCTAGTATATGTATAAGATATCTTATTTTATGGTATGACAAAAAGCAGAAAAAGTATGGGTACCCTATACTTTTATAATATATGTACATACTTATTTGAAAATATTATGCTTGATATCATATATCGTAAGAAAATAATTGTTAATGCTCTAAAACAGCTCTTATAATCGTCAGTATATAGTTGATAATAGTTCTATAGTTCATGCAGAGACCTATAACACGCTTTTAATAATTTTAACACCCTAATTAAGTGGTTGATCCAAACTCCACATCAAAAAACTCCATGAAATCATTTTGTGTAATCATAAAGTTGAGTTTGAAAATACAGATAAAGCCTAAAAGATATTGGAACAACATATAGTTTGAAGGAACATTTGACAATAAGAAAGGAGAATTAAAAGCAGTAATGTAATGTGCTGATAATTACGTGCAATGTTTGAAGCAATAAAAAGTTTTTTTTGTGGTATATGACATTAAATTTAACATGAATCCATTACTACATTCCAGAATCAAATCATCAGTCAACTAAGTGAACAATTCGTAAAACACATCTAAATCTACCAAATTGCACATATATCAATTGTTTTATTTACATGGCGTCCAGACCTCCAATTGGAGTTACCCTCATGGACCTGTACATCGCCTTTAGCAATGCCCGGACAACAGTGATGTTTGGTCATTGAAACTATTTAATTGTTTTATTTATATGGCGTCAAGACCGCCAATTGGAGTGCCATTACCCTCATGGATCCATATCCACCTTGGTGGTTATAAATCCATACCTTCAGTACATGGCTTTTAGCAATACTCGGACAACTGTGATGTGTAGTCACTGGAACTATTTAATTGTTTTATTAGTATGGCGTCAAGACCTCCAATTGGAGTGTCATTACCCTCATGGATCCATATCCACCTTGGTGGTTATAAATCCATACCTTCAGTATATCGCTTTTAGCAATACTCGGACAACTGTGATGTTTAGTTACTGGAACTATTTAATTACAATAAAAACATAAACAAATAAATATGCCTACCTACCTAGCTTACCTACTCCAATATTGGCTGTCGTATTTCGAAATGAACAGAATATTCTACATATTTATCATCATCGTTTGTTTGGAGAAAAGAAGAACAATTAATCGTGAATATTATACGGCGTTGATAAATGCGATTGCAGAATTGAGTTGCAATAAATCAATCTCAAATGAAAAAGGATTAAGTGCTTTCGCACTAAGACAATCCATGACGTCGCTAGTTGATCACAACAATGTTAAAAGATTTAACAAGAATATCTTAAGCAAAGAGATTTAGATCTTAGGAAGAAGTATTATTGAAACTGAAGGATTATGGTAAAAGATATCGAAACTTACAGAAGTAGTATCAAAATTACAATTCACGAGTTTCATATAGAAGTGTTTGTTATTTAAAAGATCCTAGTATTAACCATTGTATTAACTTACTGGATGGTAATTTGGTCTTAAATACAGACATTAAAAAACAAAAAAAAAAATCAATTTATATTATAATATAATGAAATATATGCCGACATTTGTGATTTAAAAATGGAAGATAGTTAAATAAAAGAAAATAAGGCAATGTTTTGAAGTAAATTTATAAATTACACCCAAAAAAATATAGTAATTAATCAAACGAATAGCAAATTTTTATTATATTAGTAAAGCCTAATTTATTATTAAAGAAATGTTAAACAATTTACAACGTAACAATAAATTTTCGTAGTATTTCAATTTTATTATTAAAGAATTGGGCAGGTTGATGATTTAATTTACAGACAAATACAATAAATGAAAAATAAATATCTTTAGAAAAGATATTTTTAGTGCTTATACCATTTTTGGCATTTCAAAAAAAAAAAATTTTTAAATAATAAAATAAAGAAAGAGAATTTATATGAACAAGTTATAGAACATTAAAGAATGCCAAAATGTCTATTGCTAAAGTTATAAATAAGCAGCAATAGACAAAGTATCTTTTATGCCTTTTATATACCATTATTAAAGATATTTAATGCTCTAAATAGCTTTTACTTTTTGAAAAAAACTTCTTGAATTTTTTTTTTTTAAAAGATTTTCTAAATTAAGAATGTTTTGTTTAAAGATAGCCAGACAAGTACAAGTAGATGGGGTGACCTAACAACCTGATGTCATACATGAATACGTAAA